CCCGGCCAATTACCTGAGTTTTAAACTCTTTGTTAAGGTACGAATCTGCTTCCAATGTGGAGAATGTACTATCCCAAGCTTCGGGGGTTTGTACAGCTGTTTTCAGAGATACTTGTAGGGACCTGTAAATTTTCAGTTCTTCCAAGGTGGTATGATAAGGGGCAAGGTGTTTACTCCTTTCCTGGCCTATGACTACAAGTACTCCTTTCTGTCCTGTAACCGTGAGGAGGGGCTCCTCTCCACAATCACTACAAGCTCCACCAAGCCAGCGCTCCTCCTCACCCCAGCACCGCTGCCCAGAACTGTGGCCCAGATCCAAACACGGGCAAAGGAAGACATTCCTGCCTCAGCACTGGCAAAGAGATCCCTGCAATCCCTCTCTGATCAGCCACTGGATTCCCCCTCAGTCTGTGGGCCGGAAGCTCGGGAAGCAGCTGCCCCCCCACAGAGCCACGCTCTTGGGGAATGGAGCTGAAACCCCGCCTTCCTTTCTCAGGCACCGACAGAAACAGACTTTTCCCACTGACCTTCTAATTTGTCTTTGGCATTGGTGGACTGAGGAGCCTGGAAACCTCCACAGCTGCCCGAGATTCAGTCCTCTGAGGCCTGCTCCAGGTGTGCTGCCGCCGGCTGATGAATCATTCAGGTTGTCTTGGGCTGGAAATTTGTTTCACGCTGTCTTTTTGTGGGTTCTGCGGCTTCAGAATTTGTTTAGAGCCATTTTTTATGAGTATTTGGAGGGGTTTGGAGGAGAGCTCAAGCAAGTCACTGCTGTCACTCTGCCATCTTGGCTCCGCCCCCCCAGCCTCTCAACATTCTGAAGGGCCTGCCTCACCACCCATCCAATCCTCAGCCCAGAGTCATATACCCTCCTTTTTGCTTGGCCCCCTTTACCCCAGCCCCTCTCTCCTTCCAGGCCCCCAGAGTCTCACCTTTGGCTGTGAAAGAGGCAACCATCTGACCCCTGTGCACTGTCATTGCCCTGGAGACAAAGGAGGGAAACGACCCAGTCAGAGGCATACATCCCAGGACCAGGGTATGGAAAGGGAAGGGGACACCAAGGCAAGGCTACTGCGCTAAGCCTCTCCTCTGCCTTCCTATTGCTCAGGTCCTGAAGATACCATGGGCTTGGCCCTTCCTTCTACCCTCCATGTCAACCTTCACTTACCCGCAACCTCCAGAGCTAGGATCTGGATCCAAGCCCTCTCTCTCCAAAGGAAGTATTCTTTCTTCTGTACAACACTGCCTCCTTTTAAGGGATTTTTTTTTGCTCAGAATTTCAAGAACTAAAATTTCTGATACTGATGAACACAAATGTCATACTAAATTCCAATATTTTCTCCCACAAATGCTGTTCATTTTCATGTACAACCTGAAAACCCATCCCCATTTCAATCATCAATAGCCCACTGGCCTCTTAATTACACCAGGCACAAATTTTCAATACCTCTTTGTAAGGAAAATGAAACTTTGCATTGGTTACCCTCTCCCTTCAATCAATCCTTTCAATCAACCATTGAGTGTGTAAAAAATATGTCACATAAAAATATGATACAATAAGAGAAGTCAGAACCAAAGATAACAGAAGATTCTTTCCATGGAGAGAATGAGGCCATTTTATTTAGGGGGAACGTTAAAACAAAACCATATACCATTTGTACCAAATACGGTATAACTGTTTCTTCCCTATTTCTGAATAATTACAGTATATTATACAGATTCATTAAGGCACTGGTTCTCCAAAAGAATACAAATGAGTCTTCTTTCAAAACAAATTAAAAAAAAAACCACCATTACAAAGCCACCAAGTTTTCTCCAAAAGAAATGGCATTGTCTATTACAGGAGAAATCACAGGTGCTAAATGTCACCTCTGCCGACGTCCTTTCGCAGATTGCAACTTCTACACCGCTGAATTCCCTATACACCTGTAACTTTGATGAAATCATCAAGTTTTCAAAATCACCCTTCCCTTAGTACCTTTGCACATACCCTTCGATCAAAAAGCGTACGGAAAATACTCAGCACATAAAACATTTCTGTTTGTAATTGAACATACAGGAAAAGGGCCTTCAGTTACTGAAATGCAGTTATCATCCCTGACTAGTTGCAATTGTGATGCAACAAAGTTGACCTGGGCATTGTAAACAGAATGGGTGAGCACTGTACTATACGAGGCTGCCTCCCTCAGGCACTGCAGAAGGGACGGTCAAGGCTTCTGGTGTTACGGTTTTGTTTAGTTCTTCCTGAAAGGCCAAAGGTCTGTCTCTTCATAAACTTTCTGGAGAATTGCAACTAAAAGTTTAACAATCGATGTATTATCATAAAGAAATATTATGATTCAATTAGTGCTTCATCATACATAATATCTTACTCCCTAATCTACATACTGGAGTTATTCCAGACTCCAAATTAAACATTTCATATACATATATATATGCATGTGTGTGTGTGCGTGTGTAAGTGTATGTATATATATAACATATATACACACATACACATGCATACATATATGTACACATCCATATACAGACATAAACCCGAACATCTTAACATACAAACAAACTTTACATTATGTACCAATTGATATCCTAGAATCTCTTCTTTTGAGGGAGGAAGAGAAAGTTTAAATTGCTTGTAATTAAGAATAATTCTGAACGTAAACAATCAACTGATAGAAACATTTTCCAGGGTATTCCCTCTTCCTCTGTATAACATTTTCCCAGCTACTAGATCTTTCATAAAAATAAAAATATTCTAAACTATAGGGTTTTGTAAGTAGATTGATTTTTAAAAACAATTCCTGTAAATATAGTTGTTGTAACAAAGGGAAAGAATTATTGATAAATGGCTCTTATAAACTTTTCCATAAGGTAAGCTCTCATTGGTCTTTAGCACCTAATTAATATCATAATACTTTTACAAAAAAAAAAAAAGGAAAAGGAACTTTATTTTCCGCTAACATCGGGCACTATAGTTTCTACTGAATGTATTTTAGTTATGACTAAAGCAGCATTAAGATCTCAGATTTTATTCAAAAACAAAAAAGGAAGAAAAGCATCAGCAGTGAAAAGTACTTCTGTCCAGCTGTGAGCTGGACGGAAAGCCCAGAACAATGAATTACAAAATACTGGACACAGCACAATGCCACCAGCATCGAAGAAGACCTCACAGCTACTTCTGGAGGCTTTATTTCTTGGAAATAAATCATCAGCTGCAGAAAAAAAAAATTCCTTTGATTCTTTTAAGCAGTTGTCAAGTTTTTACACATCTTTCTCTGTGAAAACCCCAGTGAAGAGCTCAAGAGCAGAAATGCATGATTTCACACTGTTCCCCAGAGCTTCTTGGGATGGCTGCCTTAAAAGATGGCTAAAACCCCAGAAACTGACCATTTCTCCCAAATATTCTTTCTAAGAAATCATGGAATACAGAATTCCGAGGACTTGAGCAGGATGGCTAAAACTACATTTTAAAAAGCTCTATTGTTGTTGTTTTGTTTTTTTCCTGAGGAGTACTGGCTCTGATAATGACATTATCCATGGAACTCAAAAGCTAAAAACCCAAAAGCTGAAGAGATGATTTGTAAATAGAAAAATGCTTTAGGAAGAAATTAAAAAGTGAACCACACCTCAACAGATTGAAACAATTAAAACAAAACAAACCAGGTCAATATTTTGAATGTGAAGTGAAAAACTCTAATATCCCCGGGGATGTAGAAACAGTACACATGCACCAAAGAAACAAATCCCAGCAGCCATCCTACGTGGGGACAGTCCTAAGCTCTCTGCTGTCCCTTTGGAAGCCTGTATTTCCATATTTCTAGTTAGAATACCATGAATTTAACCCCACCAATCCCTCCCTAGCCACCCGCTCCCATTATTGCTAAGAAATGCACCATGCAAGACGATCCCTCTTGTGCTTCTAGGTTCAGCTCTTATACACATATACACAAACAGCATCCTTGCTTTACCTACTCAACCACAAAGAGCAAAATCTCCCTTCCAATGCACCTTCTCTTCATCCCAACTGGGTGACAGTCTTTCTCACTTACTACTGATCTTTCCTGCAGGGAGAACTCAATTTGTGCTCAAGTCTTCAGTCACTTACACAATGAAGATTTAAGAAAAAAGCAAAAAATGTTTGAGTTTAATGAAAAGGGCGATCTTTTGTTCGTAATTGCCTAACAGAATCAGAAACCTGAGGAGTTTCTGAACAATAACAATGCTGCTTACTTACTCTGATTCAATTCTTACAAACTGCATTGGTGCTATGGTTTCATCTTCTGTGAAATCGCCAAAGACCACCTGCAGATTATGGGAAAGCACGGTCAGTCATCAGCCATTGGCTAGTAATGCTCAAGAGGACACTGACCTCGTCGAGGGCAACTGCCACATCTGGCGCTAGGCAAAGTGGACTTTGGAGGCGGGAGACAGGGGGCTTCTCAGATATATCAAAACTTCTCAAACATCACAGATCCTTGGGGTTTGCCTGGAATGCCACGTTCTCACAAACAGAAAAGAAAGTGATTCTGGTTTTCCCTTCAAGCACCATTTCTGGGTAGCTGTCATTTGTGTTTTGTTTGGACTGCAGCAGTATGTGTGTTTACAGTGTGTTTTAGTTTTAGATTTTTATTATTATTTTTTTTTTCTAGGCAACGGTGTTAAGTGACTTGCCCAGGGTCACACAGCTAGTAAGTGTCAAGAGCCACCTGGCTGCCCACAGTGTGTTTTATTTTGAAAATAGATTAAAGTATTTTTTTCTTTAAAATCCCTCAATGCAAGGCTTTCCCAGAAAGGAACATGTATAATTTTTGTTATCAGTTACCCAAGAGGTCTCCCTCCTGCTAACAGGCCCTTCGAGCCTGGGATTGGCTGAGCCGCTCTTTGTCCAGAGTTCTTTCTCCCTAAGAGCAAGTGGCCTGATCCTGCTCACGGGAGAGATGCAATTCAGCATCTGTCCTACAGAAGGAAGCATCTTCAACCTCATCTGCTTGGCCAACAACAGGAAAAACCTGTGCTGGCCATCTCCAGAGGTTTCCTTTCTCCCTTCAATTAGAGTTTGGTGTGTCCTGCGACTCTGACATTTTGGCAAGGGTTTTTTTAACCCGAAGGGCTGTGAGACGGCAAGAAGGTTTGTGGGCCCAGCATTCTATCATGAGCCTCCCCATCCGCCGTAGACACTGTGGGGAAAGAAATGGGAATATTAGAACACAATTAGGAGAATGTGCTATGATCCACAGGGTTGCTTCTGAGACTCTTGGAAGTTTGGGTACAAAAAAGATATTTCTCCTTTAAACTGTACAGGCACAAAGATCCTCAGCTCCACTGTGATTCAAGATTAATGGATTAACGCAGAGCTCTCATGTCACAGAGGTGGTTTTGCAACACAGCGTAAAACAAATAAAAAATATCCCGGGGATTTGTTTGGTCCAACGGCACACTCCCAGGTTCTTTATGACACTTTCTAAGTTTAACTCTTTTTGCCTAATTGCCTATCACACAAAGAGAGAATCAACTTCCCAAAGTACAGCTGCCTGCTACAAACACCATGTTAAACTGTACTATTTAACAAGATTAAGGACCCCTTCCTAGAATCACAGGCTTGGTCTCCCATGCTCACATGTGCTATATCAATTACGAGTCTTCTCACTTAAATAGAAATCCTTGGTGGAAGAGTGCAGAGCGCCTGGATGGTCATCTGTTGGACATGCCAGAGTGGGGCATTCTGTGAGGGGTGTGGGTCAGACCAGATGGCTGCTGAAATCTCTTTTAACTTCCAAAGTCTGTGATTTTGAATTCAACACTTTTCCTAGACTTCATCTCAGACCTCCTGTTTGCAAAGTATGCATATCACTATGCATTTCAGAAACTGTACAGAAGTGACATGCCAAGATGGGATAAGGGAATACATAGAGGTCCTTTCATAATAATAATAAAAAACAGAAAAACCCATGCTTTTCCCTGAAGAATTGTTGATTAACAGCAAGTTCTTCTATCTAGTCTATCATCGAGACACACGCAGACACAGAAAATGCATGAGGGTTCGTGTTGGTGTGTGTTAAGTATCCAGCCGCCACCACCAAAGATGGCCAAACTAGGAAAGGATGCATTGTGCAGAGCCAAGAAAAGTGAATCCCGGAACGGGGAAAGGATGCTGCTCAACCGGGAAAGCACAGCCTCCAAACAGGGATGGCAACACCAAAGTCACACAAACAGCTTCTCCGGGACAATTCATGCTAATCCCAAAGCTCCACTTGACTTGTCTCTCTCACCTTCCTTTTCCCTGCCAGTTTTCAGATCTTACTGAACTGACCACTCAAAGGATCATAGGGTCTGAGAGACAGAAGGGAGGCAGTGACCATCCGATCCCATCAATACCAGAAAGGAATTCACACCTTGTCCTACCTGACAAACGACCACCCCCCTCTACCGAAACACCTTTCGGACAACCCTTTCCCATTTCATGCTGTTAGCAAAGGCTAATCCGGTCCGCTTCTTGTACTTTTGCTTGTCATGTCTACCACAGCGCTTCTGAATTTTTGCATATCGATGGGATAATAAGTAGAAAGCTTCACCTGCTGGCATGCTGATATCTTGGATCACAGAAATGGTGAAATCACTTCTGTGTGTGTGGGTGGGGAGAGAATCATTGGTAAAACCAATATATTAAAAAAAAATCACTCATGGAAATAACCTTGATGTAGCTGAGAAGATATAAGAAATAAAACATCAGGTTTATTTAGCAGTGATGTAACGGGTCAATATCTCTGAGAAAGAGCAACATTAACTTCAGAAAATTAAACAGACAGCTAACACTCTGGGCTTTGGCTCTCCCCACGTACCTGTGCTCTGCTCCACTGCCAGTATCTCTTAAAAAGAAGCCCTGCAGTGAGAACTAGCAGTTCAACAACAGACTTTCTGCACAAAATTGACCAGATGTCACTGTGGTCTCACCCAAAGAGCGGGCCTTCCTTCCTACCTCATCACTATTCCACCTGTCGGGAACGGAGGGACGGAGTTTTTGGATGCACACGATCTCCCTCATAGCTTCAAAGGAGGGATCACTGGGTACCAGGTCATAGTAGGGAAGCTGGTATTCTTCCACTATTCCTAGAAAAAAAACCCATTGACTTTTGTTCAGCTACAAAACTCTGAAATGCGGGGGGGGGGGCAGGGGAGGGAAGAGCTAAAGTCTCATCAAAATGGTAACTATCAATATGAACTGCACACATCAGAACATGTTTTTTTCTTGGGGTGGGGCAGATCTTTAGTTTTTATTTTACTGATGCGGGGAACTCAGGGTGAGGAAATCCCCTCTACCAAATCAGTCATACAGCTGCTCTACAATTTATAAACTTAAAAAGTTGCCTGGCTCACTGAGAGTTTAAAAGACCTGCCCGGGAGCGGAAAGCCATCCTGAGTCAGAGGCCGTCCTGAAACCCATGTCTTTGTGACTGAAGACCAGCCTGCTGCTGTTCACTGTGCTGAGCTGTCTAGTACTAATCTGCTGAAGCAAAATGAGTCCAACAGACACAAATTCACGTGATGCAGACTGGCATTCTTTCCTACTTAAAAACAAAGAAAGTATTCTTTAAAGACCCATTTCTAATTAATGCTTCACTTTCATTAGGAAATGACTTTTCAATTATTATTTTATAAAACTGGTTGCACTGCAGTAGCCATAAAGTTCAAAACCGCTTTCATATTTATCCAATATTTGTTAGACATTAGGTTTGGGCATTCCCAGGTAGCACAGAGACCCTGCTATTAAGACCCTCTATTATTAATCTCATGGAGGGGAAAATCGTGTACACAAGACTTGAGATACAAAGGTTAAGTGAGATGAGGGCTAAGCCAAAGAAGAGGATTTTGAGAAATCTCAGGACAAAAATGATCACTTCATGCTAGGGCTGTGTGAGAAGGCAGGAAAGGTTTCATGGAGTAAATGCCACCTGTGCCAAGCCTTGAAAGAAGAAAGGGACTTCCACACGACCCAAAAAGTGGGTTTGGGAAGGAGACTGTTGCAGGCACGGCAATGTTGTCCCCAAAAAAGGCAACCAGTAAGCAGAGTTTTGCTGGAAGTCTATTAAGCCTCGAGGGCAGGGGTGGGGACCCTGGCCTGGAGGCCATATGTGGCCCTCAGGAACGACTGCACTTAAGGACCTAGAGGGCCCCATGTGGCCTCGAGGCTGCAGGTTCCCCACCCCTGCTCTAGCATGACTGAATGAATATCTATCTGCACGATGGGAGCTTAATGAAGCCATATTCACAATGACCAAAATCTGATTCAATAAACTCCAAAATTGTGAAAAGTGGTACGCTATCTCTGTTACAAGGATTTCACGCCACTTCAGAAAGTAGTCAACTTGGGGAAGATCAGATTCTCCTCCTTGTAAGAACGTGGGGTTGGAGGGGTAGCTAGGTGGTGCAGTGGATAGAGCACCCACCCTGGATTCAGGAGGACCTGAGTTCAAATCTGACCTCAGACACATAACACTTACTAGCTGTCTGACCCCGGGCAAGTCACTTAACCTAGCCAAAAAAAAAAGAAAAGAAAGAAAAACAAAAACCTGGGGTTTGGAGAGACCTCCCATCTCCATGGGGTCAGGGTGGACGCTACAGGGACCTCCCAGGGACCACTCGCGCGCGCTCTCTCTCTCTCTCTCTCTCATTTGTTTTCTAACTCCAGCTTAGAAAAGGCAGGCGGCTTACTCTCTGCTCAGTGACATTCTCGGGGTAGTTCCCTGTTACCAGCACAGTAAATTCTGTTCTTGTAACAACATTTTCTATTAATAATTATCTTATACAGAAAATCTTGAAGAGTCTTTGTGCCCTATTGTTGTATCTTTGAAGTAAATATCCCTTTGTAAAAGCTAACTGACATTAGGTGGCTCAATGAAAGGCTGATGATCACAGTGATTAAAGTGGGAACACAACAGAACGGGACTTGAGCCAATAGCTTTACAAAATCTTCTCCAAACCCAGTACCTCAGGGTGGGAAGGAGGTGGATGGAGACCTAGTCTCACTGACTCAGGGTCAGACTCGTGCATAATAGTGGGAGCTGGAAGGAGGGTTCTCTGAGCTTGTAAACACTGTGTAGGTGCATGCACTCGCTCGCTAGGAAACTGTGAGAGTCGCCTGTTCTATTTCTCATTGGTCAATTTCTGGCCTGGTCACGTTAGAACTGTTTTAGTGGCCTATTTCTACTTACCTAATTTAATACCACTTTCATATTTGTCCTACTAACACAATCATCTGATGGCACACAGAAAACCGATTTAAAAATTACGCCTACGTCGGTAACAAGTCATTTCCTTTTAAGGTACAGCAAATCCTTTTTGGTGTGATGTTACTTGGTGTGTGCCTTTTTCAACACTCCTGATATAAATTACAATATACAGTAACTCATAAAGCATCACTAAATTGTGGACAGAGAAAGACCTGGGTTCAAGGTACCTCTCCCACACACACTACGGGACCCCAGGTAAGACACTTCACCTCAAAGTGTCCCCAGACACTCGAGGATTGTGAACTTGTTCCTTATATGCAAAGGGAGGGGGAGTGCCCTCAATAAGGAGCTTCTTCTATCAAGTAAATGACAGGTCTCAAGGGGCACTTTAACTCCAACTCAAAGTATACAGCCCTTTAAATTTTACAAAGCCTCCCTGCATTAGCCTTGGGAAGCAGATAATGCAAGTACCAAGGCTTTGCTGCAACTCTGACTGCATCAGTGCAGTGTTCCTCCCAGCGGACTGCTGCCTATCTGTGCTGACTTACCATACGTGAATTTTATCTGCATTCCCCCACAGGCCTGCCACAAACTGGAGTTGTCTTCCCCTACCTTGGACGTTGTGCACATGCACGTGAGCCATCCATTAGTTGCTCCCAACCCCCACCCCCAGTCCCACATTTGTCAGACATCCTTTGTGCTGTGGGTGGTAGCCTGCTTACCCCCATCCCACGTCTTCATTTTAATGACAGGGAAACATACTCAAGAAGGATGCAGCAACCGTTCCCAGGCCACAGAGCTAAGAAACAGCCGAGACAAAATTGGAGCCACGTCTTCTGAACCACATCTTGTGATATTACTACCATACTCAGAAGGGGCTATGGTACTGAACTGACTAGGTCCAGAATCCTTACTTTACCAAAATACAACCTTACTTTAACAAAAACCCTAGCTATATGCTCCTCTCTCCTCTCTGCCTAACCACAGGATACCTTATGAACCAGCTCGTGCCTGCCTCTTCCAGGAAGCCTTCCCTGACTGGGCCAAGCCACTTTGGTCTTCATCTCTTCTGAACGCCTTTCATGCTTTCAGAATACATCCCTGTCATGGTCTGCAGGTGTGTCTCATCACCCCAATTAGATTAAAAAAGTACCTGAAGATGAGGACTTGGAGTCCCTCTCATTTTGTCTGGGAGTAACACAGTGTCTGGCAAGGAGCGGCCACTTGATGAAGTGACTGCCTGGTGAATGAATGAATGAAGGAAGGAATGAAGGAATGAAGGAATGAGAAGCTAGGCAGGGCTGGGCTTTGGCAAAACTGCAGTCAGTGAATGGTCCCTCTTCGACCTCTCACCCACCATCTTGGCCTTTCCATGGTGGTGGCTGATTGCAAAGCAGCCTTTTGTGTTGCAAATGTGGCACAGTAACCAGACGTGGGCCCCTAGACATTACATTCTTCTGATAGCCCTGACTATTACCAAACTTGGAGGATGAAACAGGTAGACAGCCCAGAGGAATGGTGGGATTATACAGACTTCTGAAATACACAAAAGGAGCTCCCCATTTCCCACCAGCTATAGTGCTTTTTGACTTCTACAGAACTCCCCAGGGACCAGAAGGATAAAAGAAGTCGGACTAGAATGGATCTAGGTGGTCCTCAAGTGTGACCTCATCTTACAGAAGAGAAAACTGAAGCCTAAGAGGGGAAAAGACTTGCTCAAGGTCACATGGTTCTCACAGACATTTTTGTGGATTTATTCAATGGCAAAAAGCAGGATGCAAACCTGCTGACCTAATACACAAGAGCTTCTCACAGCAGCGTAACAGACAGGAACTGCTCTGGGCTCATTTGAGAGAAGATGACTGGCTGCCACTTCTGGCGAGATGAGAACACTTCCCTCCCTCCACCAGGGACTTGGTGACAAGTGACGCTCTCTTGTAGACATCCTCCCAGGTGTATATCCCATCCTATTTGTATGGCTACTGATGACAGCTGAATTCACAAGCAGCACCTCTCACCCACCCAGCATGTCTTTAGAAAGCATCAATACTGGTTTGTCACCTGCTGCCCGAGTTCTTTCTTTAGATTTATTCAGAATAAGATCATCAGAAGACACTGTAGGGAATGCACTGCAAAAGAGCCCGCGGAGGAAAAGGGATTGTATTTCCCACATTAGCTTACAACCAGAATAACAGTTCTTCATTTTCAATACAAAACACTAAGTAGGGATTCTAGACAGCAGTCCTAAGAGGTTTAGGTAACTGACTTCATTTTCAAATGGATTCAGATTTGTCAGAATAACGATCATCCCCCAATAGTCAAAGCATATGAGTAGGTAGTTTCCTAGGAAGAAATCCAAGCGGTCAATAGTTGTATTTTTAAAATGCTCTGAATCACTAAAAATGAGGGAAATGAAAATTAAAGCAACTCTGAGACTCTGCCTCAGACCCATCAGATTAGAAAAAAAGGGGGAAAGAAAAGGAAAATGAAAAATGCTGGAGGTGCTGTGGGAAAATAGGTACGTTAATGCACTGTTAGAGCTGTGGACTGGTGCAGCCATTCTGGAAAACCGTTTGCAACTATTCTGCCAGTTACAGCTCGATCCTGATTAGTGCAAATAATGCAGCCTGGGAAATAGTTCATTTCTTTGAATTCGCATTGCACATTTCCATTGGGCTAGAAGTAATTACAATATTTTATTTATCATTGTTAACTCTGAAGAGGTCAAATTCAATAAATTGGCCACTACATGGGATTCATTATTCACACTCATCAAAATCTAGGTCTGTGTATGTACACAATCTCACTTGATCCTTACAACAATCCTGTGAAATGGATGCTATTATTACCCCTGTTTTACAGAGGAGAAAACAGAGGCTGAGAGAAGTTAGGTAACTTGTCCTAGGTCACGCAGCTAGCATCAAGGGCAGGATTGGAATTCTGGTCTTTCTGACTCCATGTCCAATACTCTATCCACTATGCCACCAAGCTAAATTGAGTCCCTTTGATCCATCAATATCATTCCTAGCTCTGTATCTCAAACAGATCAAAAAAGAACCTGTTATTATTTACAGGCGCTCTTTTGGTGGGTAGCAAAGAATTTTAAACTAAGAGAGTGCCCACTGATTAGGGAATTACTGAACAAATTGTGGTAAAGGAATGTGATGGAATGCTATTGTGCTGTAAGAAATGATGAAAGGGATGGTTTTTAAAAACACCTGAGAAAACTTGCACCAACTGATACAAAGCAAAGTGAGAAGAAAAAGGAGAAAAAAATCATATGACAACATTGTAAAGACAAACAATTTTGAAAGACTTAGGAACACTTACCAATGCAATGACCAACCTGGAGTCCAAAAAACTCGCAATGAAACATGCTACCTATTTCTTGACCAAGAGATGACAGACTCACTATGCAGATTCAGACATATTTTTTTCAATATGGCCAAAGTGGGAACTTGTTTTGCTGGATCTATGTACATCTGTCACAGGGGTTTTGTTTTGCTTCTTTTTCTTTTGAATGGGGATGGGAAAGAGAGAAAATTAATTGAAAAACAAAACACAAAAGGAAAGGAAAAGTCATCAGTGAGTTTTATACTTGAGCTCTTTCTTGAAGACTGAATGCCTGTTCAGTATCTGGTCGGGGAATAATGCCTGCATTAACTTTCTGCTTATACATTATACTGCATCTACTTCAAGAGAAACATCTTCTACTCTCCAAAAGTTCATAAAAATTAACTTCCCAGTGCAATGATGAGGCACCAAGACTTTAAATGCACAACTCCGAGGTAGTGCAAATCTTTGTAGTACTGCTAAACTCTTGTATTAACCCCAAAAGAGGATAGGACATAACCAACCAAAATGAAAGTATCAAACAAATGCTGAAATATCATGCATTGGTATTTCTGAGAAAAAAGCCAGTCCCCCCAAAGATGATCTATGGACAAGCAGTTTTCAGAAAAAGGAATGCAAATGGATCATCAGCCATAGTTTTAAAAATGCTTCAATAACTAATGATCGAAGAAATGCAAATTAAAACCCATGTTTCCCCTCACATCTTGAAAACTAGCAAAGATAAAAATGGAACTAATGCTGGAGAGGCTGTGGAAAGATAGGTCTAGAAGATCTGTGAGTTGATCTAATCACTCTGTAAAGTAATTTGGAACCACGCAACAAAAGTCAACGTGTTGTTCATATCTTTGGACGTAGCAGTACCACCTTCGAGAGATCAGGTTATAAATATGTAAAAAAAAATATGTGTAGCATTATTTGCGGTAGCAAAAAAAAAATGGAAATTAATTCAGTACATATCGATTGGGCAGTGGTGAAAGAATTTCTGAAATGGAACATTGAAACATTATTGTACTCAATAAATGATGGATTTGAAGAATTCAGAGAGTGTAAGATTTAAGCAGAGTGAAAAAAGCAGAACCAGGAACCATTAAAGCAAACACCACTAAAGTATTTCAGAACTCTGATTCAAATGGGAAATCTTGACTCCAAAAGACTAAGAAGGAGAGATTTGGTAGACATTGGGGGGCAGAATGAGGTATATATAATATGGTAAACATATCACTTTGTTTTGTTTAGGGGTACTTCTCTACTGCAAATGGAAATGAAGTGGTGTAAAAAGAAATAATGCATTTAAAAGCTATAACTAACTGCACTGTAATTATAGTCCAGCTTCTTCATTAATTGTCAGACTCTTCCAATATATTGTTTCTCCCACACGTACATTTCAAATACCATTTTAAATCAAAACATCAGTAATTTAAGTCTGTGGATTTTTGAGGCATCACTGTGCGGTAGAAACATCACTAACTTTAAAATTAGAGAATGAATATGATTTTTTAAAACTGTACATCTATGAGTATGCCGTTTAACTTGCAGTCATGTCCAACTCTCCAGGACACTGACTGGGGCTTTTTGTCAAAGATACTGGAGCGGTTCGCCATTTCCTTCTCCAGCTCATTTTACAAATAAAGAACTGAGGTAAACAGGGTTAACAGGGTTAAGTGACTTGCCCAGGGTCACACAGCTAGTAAGTAAGTGGCTGAGGCCAGATTTGAACTTAGGTCCTACTGACTCCAGGGCAGTGCTCTAGGCACTGTGCCACCTTGCTGGCCAGGATGATGTTAATTATAGTAGGATGATGATAGTTATAGTTATAATCATGGTAACAATTATACAAAATAGTTTATAGTTTCTACTGAACTCTTCATACATTCTTAACTTATCCTCAATCCATCAGGACAAATATTACTAACCCTTTGAAGGGATGCTTTTGCTTTTCCTTATACCTCTAGCACAGTGCCTGGAACACAGTAAACATATAATAAATGCTTATTGATTGATTAAGAAATACAGACTCCAAGAATCACTTGTCCACTGTCCCATAGCTACAGGAGTACCAAGAGAAGTGTGCCACATTCGCAGTCAGGAGACCTGCCTTTGCAGACTGGCCCCCAGGTCTAGCATGCATTCTTTCCCCACCTCTCTGGCTCTTGGAATCCCAAACCTGAACCTGTCAAGGCTCACTTCCAGCACGTGCCACCGTCTCCTCCAGGCCTGGGGCGACCCTTCTCATCTAATATCACATGTACGCCACGGGCTTGTGGTTTACTCTGCGGTTCTGTCTTTACCTCCAGAGAAATAGAAGTTCTTTCAGGACAAGAGCCATTTCATTTTGTCTTTCTCTCCCCAGGACCGAGCACAGAACCTTGCACGTCTTAGGTGCTTAATAAACGCTCGTTGCCTTGAAAGGAACCTGGCATCCAGAACATCTAAGTGCTTACAAAAGGGTAACCAGGGGCAGCTAGGTGGCACAGTGGATAGGGCTCTGGCCTTACAGTCAGAAGGACTTGAGTTCAAATCCAGCCTCAGATACTTGACACTTACTAGCTATGTGACCCTGGGCAAGTCACTTAATCCCACTGCCTAACCAAAAAATGCGCCCCCAAAAAAACAGAAACAAAAGGATAACTAACAATAGAACGGGCATAGGCTGATGCCAAGTGAGTGGGATAGACGGTGTTGTACAGGAGCGGAGAGGCAGTTTCTGTTGCCAAACTCGAAGAAAGACAAGTCGCACACAACAGAAGAGATGACGTTTCAGCAAAGTCTTGAAGAAAGAGTGGCACTTATGTAAGGTGAAGGAACCAAGGCGCCGTGGGCAGGGAAAGGCAGAGAGAGGGGGCATCGTGCTGGAGCTTAATAAAAACGTACACTTATGTAATACGAGCTCTGCAAAATGCCTTCCTCCCGTCCCTCATATTACAGATGAAGAAACTGAGGCTCAGACTATAGTGGAGAAAGGACTAGACTCAGAGACTTGGCTCCTACTTCAGGCTTTGAGAGGCACTTTTAAACTTGCTAGACTTCAGGGTTTTTTATACCCAAAGTGAACAAGTTAAAACTGCCAGGTCCCTTCCGTCATTCTCTCATGCACATTCCATGTTTAGCAACAGCCTAAGGAGAAGAAGCAGTGTGACGCAGGGGATCGTGGGCCAGATTGGAGGCAGGAAGACCTCCCCCCTTTGTGTATGGGCCAGCCTGGTGCAGGGAAAAATGGTCTGGAGTCAGAGTTTCATTCGTGTCTCTACCTCCTTCTACTTTTGTGACCTCAGACAAATCCCTTTTCCTCTCTAAGACTCGGTTTCTTTTTCTTTAAAATGTGGGAAATAATATCGGTAGTACCTACCCTATCGGTTGTGGTGAGATTCCAAAGAGATTACCTGTCTGTCAGCCAGTCTATCTATCTATCTAGCAAGCTCACTAGCATAGAAACCTATAGCAATAGCCAAGGACAGAGAGGAGAAGGCCCAGAGTAAGGTGGTGGCTGTGTAAATGGAGAGAATGGATATATGTGAGAGATTCTGTAGTGAAGAAAACTACAAGATTTTGGCAACTAGGTGGAGAATAACAACACAGTTGTGAACCTGGGTGGCAGAAGGTGGACAGGGCCTTCACCAGGAAAAGGGAGGTCTGGGAGATGGGAGAATTTGGGGGGAAAGATCATGAGCTCTGCTTCACAAGAACGAGTGAAAGAGGCTTTTGGGACATCCACTCTGAAATGTCCAAGTTGTTGGTGATGTGATGCTAGGGGGAAGGAGAGATTAGGCTTGAGTAATAGAGCTGGGAGTCATCTACCCAGAAATGATCGCTGAACCCAGGGGAATTGATGAGGGGACCAAGTAGAACAGCAGAGAGAGAAAGGGGAAGAGAGCCCAGGACAAAGTTTTGGGGAGCACTCACAGAATCCAAACTTCACAGAACAAGTCCCCTTCATTAATGGACTCAGTCAAAGGGCGGCACACGAGGATCTAGAGGGCCACATGTGGCCTGGGGGCTGCAGGTATTGCGCCCTTCCACCCCGCCCCCCCCGGCCCCAGTAGGACATATCTAGTCCCTAAATGCGCTCAGAGCTGAAGCTTAAATCCAGCAGGGGAAGGAGTGGAGGTGGAGATAAAATTCAGTTTGGAACTCTAAGGTTCCTTTTTGTGGGAACTCAGGCTGCAACTTCCCAACAACACTGGAGTTACTTACCACCTGACACACATCTCCGGGCAATTTCCCACAGAATGAGGCCAAAACTGTACATATCTGCTGCGATGTAGGAATAGAAGTGGTTGTGATCCAAAGTCTCATCCAGCACCTCGGGCGCCATGTAACGCTTGGTGCCCACTCGAGTGTTGGCCGGGACATCTATTTTACTGGTGACGCTGTGGGAAAAAGCACAGCACTGACGTCAACACAGAGGGAAAACCCGTCTTACAGACGAAGAAACTGAGGCTCAGACTGTAGTGGAGAAAATACTGGACACAGAGACTTGGCTTCTACTGCAGGCTTTGAGAGGCACTTTCAAGTTTTCTGGACTTTAGGTTTTTTATATCTAAAATGAGCAGATTAAAATTGTTGGGTCCCTTCTGTGATTCTCTCATGCACATGCCATGTTTAGCAACAGCCCAAGGAGAAGAAGCAGTGTGATGCAGGGGACTGTGGGCCACATTTGGAGGCAGGAAGACCTCCCCTCTTTGTGTAAGGGCAAATCAACGAGCAAAATCAGTGTGCAGCAAGGCCACAAGGACTGCCGGAAACCACAGGGGAGAGGGAAACTGTGGGGTGGGAACGAGGACTCTGCTGGGAAAGGCTCATCTAGCTGAGGCTGGAGGAAGTGCTGACCAGCAGAGGGAAAAGGAGACGCACCGGGTACCGTTGGGAAGTTCATTAGCACTAAACGGAGGGAGGAGGTTACCATCAAATATTCACTAAACATTTTAAAACACAGCCCTTCTCAGATGTGCGATCTAGCAGCTTTGCTATTAAAGAGGATTTAGGAAGCCCCCCCCCAATCTTCTAGTTCTTCCAAATACTCAAAAGCAGGACTGAGAAGAAGAGGGCCCCCACCTCATGCCAGCCCCAGAATTCTATGGCGGGAGGTTCTCTGGTTTTCATCTGGTCCAATCCTTTCATTTTTACAGAAAAAGCAAGTGGTGAAAGAAAAAATAAGTGGCTTCTTCAAACATACACTCAGTCCAGAGGTGGGCAAAACCTGTGGCCTTGGATTCAGCCAAAGGGCCTCACTTGAGGACCTAGAAGGCCACATGTGGCCTTGAGGCTGCAGGTTCCCCATCTCTGGGTTAGGCAGAACTGAGCCTAGAATCTAGGTTTCCTGACTGCATTCAATTTCCACAACATAATTCAGTCTGTGTTATATATTTTCCCTAAGAGTTCTAAGTATCCCTCACAGATAGATAAACACAGTTACATGGTTTATTACTGTTCTTTTAATCTTGGACCTCTGCTTTTATCAGTGTGGGGAAATGCTAGGGGCGAAACCGTCTACGATCACAGCTCAGAAATAAGTCTACAATTGAGTACTGGCTGCCTGGGAGGACTGGGAAATACAACCACTTGCCCAAGGTCACACAGCATGAAGAAGGAAAGTCTACCTGACTGATCCTAGCTCCCTCCTAGAAGACCAACCAACCGCCCAGTACCAAATCTGTCACAGTGGAGGACTCCACTTCAATTCCATCTGACCTTGATCCGCTAGGAAGGAGAGCTGCACCTGAGGCCGGACGCTTGGGTGTGAATCTCGTTAGGCAACACTAGTTGGGTGGTCACAGGCTGGGGGCTCCTGTACCCAAGTTTCCTCCTTTGTAAAATGGGACAAACGAGTGTCTTACCTGATGTCTGTAAGCAAATCATTTGGAAAACCTTAAGGAAGAAATCTCTGAATAATTCACATTCGATAAACAAGTATTTGTAACAATAATTCCGACTGAAGATCACTGCGCTTAGGGATGGAGTTGATACAAGGTGGTCACGCTCTTAAAGAGTTCATTGTTGTGATGGTGGTTTGTCCTTCCTTCTCCAAGAGGACCATGACATCAGGGAGGTGATGCCATGACTTACAAGTGGATGGGATTGAAGTGAGGCAGGGCTGTGCCAAGTCACCAGCCTCACTTTCTCCTCCAGAGCCATCTGGGCCCAAGCAGCCAGACATAGATCAGGACAACAGGAGATGGCCCAGCACGGAGATGATTATCTTACAAAGGTGAGCAACACATGCTCACTTCCAAGAGTCATGATCATGTCAGTGTAAATTCTCCCTCCACTGACACAGGCCACAACCTTCCCTCCCTTTAGCTGGTTTAGTAGGTGCTTGGCGTCCAAATCCGTCACCTACTGGTCAAGCCTCTTTTGATCCTTTCCAAACTTCACGAGGCTGGTCCTCAAATAACTGACTGAGTCCATCACTGAGTACCTTGCACTGGAAGCTGGTTCAACTTGGCCTTCTAAGGTCCTTAGAGCTGCCAAAGCTCAAACTCCATAGACGTGGGTTCAGGATCACCCCTACCGATCAATGACGGCTCATAAATGAACGTAGGCAATTTAAAAGTGATACTACGTAAGTGCACGAAAAAGATGAAAAGTGCTTCGCCAGCCTTCCCTAGGACCTGGGAAGGCTTTTCATGGAGTCACTTTCTTTACAGGACGGGCTGGAACTCACAGAAGGGAGAGCTGACAAAGGGGGACCCACCTTCCAGGAGTAATGGTTGGAGCAAAGACCAGAGGGAGGAAAGAAGAGAGCAAGGGAGGGTGGACACTCCTCCTGACTGAAGTGGGGAAAGCATGACATGTGCCTGGAAAGCTGGAGAGTCCAATACCACACCCAAACGTTCCAACTTCACTCAGTAGGCATGAGGAAGCCCCTGGAGGATTTTAAACTGAGGAGTGAAAGGACATCTCTGCAAAGGCATACTCATTTGGTGGCTTTGGGAACCGTGGACTGGAGAGTGGAGGTGACAAAAACCAGACAGGGCTAAATCATAAACATACAGATTTTTTGAAAATGTGTACTACTGACTTGAGCTCATTCATTTGGTCTCTGAGCTTTCGAAAATACAAACATGAATCTGTTTGCAGTTTTTAAAGGCAACACGTTTTAACTCTGAATTTCTATGTCTACCAAAAATGTCTATTTAAGTCTGAACTGTTGACATCTATTCATAATTTTAAAATCTAATAGCTTTATTCCTAAACCATCTTCAAAATCTATTTTCCACCAAAAGTTTCAACTTTCCTAAATCCCCAATGTACAATGTTATTTCAAATGATATACCATCAGTTTTTGGAATATTCATCACTTTAAGAAAACAGAAAACTTTCAGAAATTAAGGAATATGTCTTTATCTTTACAGAAACTAAATTACAAATGGAGGAGAGTCAAGTAAAAGAGCTTGTTCAAATACAGATGGGTCACAGAACTCTGGTCCTCTTCTGGCTATGGGACGGGGCACTGGAAAGTCAATACATACCAGGAAGGAAGAAATGTGATTAGTATTCAAACACTGACAGAGGCTGGGCAGATGCAGTTAATTATTCATTGGACTGATAATTAATTAGAGATATCAGCAAACCTGCCTCTCCTCTACCACCCTCCGTCTCTTCAGTAGTGGGCTCTGAATCCCAGGAACTCTGCTGCTTCCCAGCTGTGAAACTCGAGGAAAAAACTGCTTTAATGATCATTTCATCTTTCAAAAGATGGCAGATCCTTAAGTTCTACCCAGGACATGAGTCTCCTCATCTGAGAGAACTGATTGTTTAGTGGAAATGCCAGGAATGTTGGAGGGAAGCGACCATTCCTCTTAGAGCTTGGGATAAAAGCGGGCATAATGGGAAATGCATCAGAGATTTTGTCAAAACATATTTCAAAGAGTTCAAAGAAAGATGGGTTGGAACTCATAGACCATTATACAGATAAGTCAGTGCAAGCAGAATGGAGAGCTCTCAGAAACGAAATCCTGAAGACAATTCTGAGAAAAGGAAAAGGAAGACTCGTCCAGAGGCACTGAAGTGCACGCACAGGGGACTCAACAGCCAACTTAACCAGTTAAAAAGACTCATAAAGAAGATGGTGGCAAGGGCAGGCAGCCCTACTTATTTACGTTCTCTAACAGCAAGCAATTTGTTTTCTCTCAATGGAGGGACCTGCCTCTTAAAAAAACAACAACAACTGGGCAAGGCAGAGCCAAAATGGCCGAGGAAAGGCTGTACCTTGCCTGTGATCTTCCATAATCCCTCCAAACAGCTCTAAATAGAGCCTCAAAATGGATTCTAGAGGGGCAGAACCCACACAAGGACAAGGTGAAATGATGTTCTAGCCCAAGACAACCCAGAAGGACTGCAGGAAACATATGTCTCCCTCAAGTAAAGACAGAACACAGGCCAGTGCAGGCAATCTCTGGGTGAGCCAGCCTCCGGGAGATCTCTCACCCCAGCCAGGGTCAGCAGCCAAGGCCCTGTGGCCCCAGAACAGAAGGCCAGCTACACGGTAGGCAGCTGTGGTGCAGCAGGTGACCAGCCTGGCCCGGGGGACCCAGAGCAAGAAGCTTGGGACAGTGCCCTCTGTACCCTGAAACCAGAACTCAACTTTGAAAGTCACAAACTAGGCCATAAATGAAAAAAGTGTCATCATCAACAACAACAAAAAACCCCAGACCACAGAAAGCTATTATGGCAACAGGGAAGATGAAACCACAAACTCAGAAGAGGACAACAATGTCAAAAGGCCCACGAGAAGCTTCAAAGAGAAATATAAATTGATCTCAGGCCCAAAAAGAACTCCTAGAAAAGCTCAAAAGGGATTTTAAAAAGCAAAATAGAGAAGCAGAAAAAAAAACTGGGGGAAACAAATTAAGAGTTAAGCAAGATAATCAAGAAAAAAGAGCCAAAAGCTTGGTGAAGGAAGCACAGGAAATGGAAAAAGACGTACAAAGATTTACTGAAGAAAACAACTCCTTAAAAAAGTAGAATTTGCCAAATGGAAAAGGAAGTATAAAAATCTCACTGAAGAAAATAATTTCTAAAATATCAGAATTTGGTGAGTGGAAGCTAATGACTCCATGAGACATCAAGAAACAATGAAATGAAATCAAAAGAAAATAGAAGAAAATTAGAAATATCTCATTGGAAAAACAACAGACTTGGAAAATAGATCAAGCAGAGATACCTCAAGAAGTACTGGACTTGAAAGCTATGATCAAAAAAGAGTGTAGACTTCAACTTTCAAGAAATTATCAAGTAAAACTGTCCTGCGTTCCTAGAACCAGAGGGTTCAACAGACATCGAAAGACTCCACCGCTCACTCCTCTGAGTAGCCCTATGTAAAGGGCTGGGGCACACTATCTCTCTCCAAGGTCCCTACCTTCCAAGGGTAACATTCGAAGACTCGCCCGGTTGCTTGGATACGAACCTGACAAACTTAACGGCCAATCCCAGATCAGCGATACAGCATGCTCCATTTTCCTTCACCAGGATGTTCTTACTTTTCAGATCACGATGTGCAATTGCCGGTTTTGTTTCAGTGCTTAAGATCTCTGTATGTAAGTGGCACAGGCCACTGACTGAAGAGTAGGCCAACTTTAACATTGCTTTGGTATCTAGGGTAGTAGACTGCAGATAATCATATAAGGACCCATTCTCATGGTAGTCTGTGATTAGGCAGAGTTGGGTCAAGGACCCTGTGCCTTTGATGTCTCCAGCAATAAATCCTAAAAAGGAAGCAAAAAGAAAAAAGGAACAAAAAGTTTGGAGAAGAGTACTTTCCCAATACTTCCAACAACACAATGCATATTGTTTGAGATCAGCAGGAGTCATGGGTTACTTTTCTTTCACATCTATAAAGCTATTAAGTTATTAATATCAAACAAAACCAATTAAAATAAGGAAAAGAATCAATAAAATATGCCACGCGCAATTAATTGGCAAATTCTTTCTAGGGTGTGTCAATTTGTTTAGGTTACCATAATTGCTATAATTCATGCAGAAAAGCCAACAGGGTTTCATCAAGAACAGGTCATACCAATCTAATCTTATAAGATAAGGGTAAGCTATAGATATAATTTGGTTCCATTTGAGCAACTATTATTCTTGTGGAAAACATGGAGGGATGGTTGCTAAATGATAGTATAATTAGCAAGATTAAGAAATTGGCTGCATGACTGGATCCACAGACTACTTAGTTATAATGGTTATAATGTATAGTGGTTTATTGTCACCTTGTAAGGTTTTCAGTAGAGTGCCTCAAGCACCTACTCTTGGTTCTCTTCTATTTAACAGTTTTATCAGTGACAAGAGATAAAAAGTGTAGATGACATTCTTAGCACAGTAGCAGAACACACAATGCTGGTCCACACAGATAACGCTGGTTGACGGAGTCAGGATTCACAAGTATTTTGACAGATTGGAAGACTGAATCAAATCTAATATTATGAACTTTAATCATCTTTGTCAGACATTATCTTTAGTTCATGGCTCAACAACAAAGTGGAAAATCACGTAGGGCTCTTAGTGGATCGCACGCTCAGTTACAATTGGCAGTGTGGCATGACAGCAAAGAAATAATTTGATCTTAGACTACTGTAAGAGACGCGGCATTTGGTATAGTCACATTGTACTGCACCCTGGTTATACCACAATGGAAGTGATGTGTTCAAAACGGGCATCATTTTTGAAATTCAGTAAAAATACTGGAGCCCAGTCAGAGTGGTCCAACTGGGATGCTGAATGGCTTTGGCGATCATTAAATATGTAATTTGAAACCAGGGATATTCGCCCATTGAGGACTTGGGAGGGAATTTTGGGGTAGGGTGGGCAGGATATCTGTTTTTACGTCTTAAAAGGACATTCATGTGAAAGAGAGATTAAACTTGTTCTTCTTGGCCACAAAACACAGAACTAGGAGCAACGGGTAGAAGTTACTAAGATATAAATTTCACTTGGAAGAGAAACTTCCTAAGAATTAGTTTCCCCAAAACGGAATGAGACTCCTCCTTACTGGAGTTCCTTTAAGAAAGGCTTAGTAGGAGCAGCTAGGTGGTGCAGTGGATAGAGCGCCAGCCCTGAAGTCAGGAGGACCTGAGCTCAAATCCGGCCTCACACCAGACACTGGACACTTACTTATAAGCTGTGTGACCCTGGGCAAGTCATTTAACCCATTGCCTAGTAAAAACAAAACAAAGAAAGTTTAGTAGACTGATAGGGTTCTTTTTTCAGGGATATGTTCTTTTCAACTCAGAAATTTGGTGACACTGTGAACAGAAGAAAAAGTCACTAAATAAGGACTAGGAAGAATTAATCCATCTAACCAAACTAATCCATTTAGACACACTTTTTCCGTGAAAAATTTGAGCCAGATCATTTTAACCCAAGATGATAAGAAGAAAATGAATTCTTGACAGAAATAAACTGTACCGATAGAATTCCTGAGCTGTTAACCTAGTCATTACAGACAGGAGGAACTGGCAGTGCACTCTGTAGCTGGGCCCAGTATTCAATATGAAGACAGCTAGCTGGATTTCATTTGGTAAACGGCCCTGCAATTTCACTGGTTCTATGTTACTCCCTTCTTCAGAACTTACCTTTTTAACACCAATATTCTCCTCGGCTGTCATATGGATGTGAATCACAAAATACCACAAATGCAACAATCAAAACCGCATAGGACACACTGGGAAATGCCAACTTTCGTGTGTGCCAGAGAAGTGGTATGTAAAACACAAAGATATTTACTTCACAGGGAAAGGAAGTGACTTGGTCATATACTGAGGGCAAAGGGTAACAGATATATCTCAAGTGCTACAATAGGACCCCTGAAATATGAAAAGGAAGCTCTTTATACTTCTAGGACACCTTCTGTGGATAGATGTGCACTGTGATAAGAAGGTAAGGCATGAATGGGTTAAAACCTGATGAGATCACAGATCCCCAAAATAAAGAAAAAGACATTTTGTATAATCTTGCCTAACTCTGAAAAAATTCTCTTCTCTTAGAACAATCTGAACATGAGATGATTCCTAGATAACTTAAGCACTAGTGATGAGTTCTAATTTCCAGTCTCCCAAGCAGTTATTTCTCTTAAAAGACCCCCATCCTCTCAGCCTCGTCTCTGGAAATACTCTGGCCATGTATTCTGAGGCCCCCTTGCACTGCAGGGCTAGTGGCCGGGCCAAGGCCAAGAAGATAAGGACAACGTTTCTAGTTAGTTCATTTAAGTTGATACACAAACACTACGAAGAAAAGGCTTAGAGCTAGAAAACAAATGCAGAACATTTTTATACTGATTTTTACTCACCCAAAATATTTTCATGCCTCACCAAGACCGTCAGATATATTTCTTTCTCTCTGGACCAGCTGGCTTCCTCAGTGGAGGAGAACAGTTTCACAGCTACCTTTTCACCACGCCACTTTGCCATCCAAACTTCCCCATAGCGACCTTTTCCAATCTGTTGGACCATCTCAACCTGCCTAGCTATAGTCCTTTGGACCTATGCAATCCCAAAACACATTGTTAGTATATTCACAGCGCAACATATTTGTTTAATCTCTCTTGAATAAAAGCAATGACTACGTATGGCAACATATGCTTGGCCTGTAGCTTTTCTTTATATAGACAATGCATTTCCAAATAACTTTAAATTATTTCTCTATTGTGAGATAGTGTTTTTATTTACTGACATTTTATTGGAGGGGAAAAACCTTGGAACTGAAAGTTTTACATTGATCAAGAAAATGGAAAAAGGCTTCTTATCAAAGACGGCTCCTATTAAGACTGAGCCTTGTCTTCAGGCATGGAAGTCATAAATGGAAATGGTTTTCAAATTAGCTGAAAAAGCAATCATCACGCATTTATTAAATGCCTACTAAGTACAGGGCTAGGCTATGGCAGTTCTGCCATCAGCCCTATTAGACAATAACTACTAAATCACAGCATCTCACGTGAGGACCCCACAAACACCTTCTCCTCATCTCCTAAACCATAGCTTCTTTTTTAAATACATGCTTTATATTTGAAATACCCCCTCTATCACTCGAGATGGCTGCCTGTCCCAACCCTACCCCCTTCATCACCCTAATTTAGACTGGGCTTAGAATCTCAGATTCTTTATGAAGTCTCAAAGGACCACTGGATTTAGAGCTGGAAGGGACCAGAGAGGATCTAACACCTTCATTGTAAATCAATTAATCAATCAGTATTTATCACAAGTGCCCACTCTGTCCCAGGCACTAGGAATACAAAGATAAAGCAGTCCCTGACTTCAAGGGGCTTATATTTCTTTGAGGGACACATAGGACATATACACACTACAAAAACGGATGT